TATAGTGGAGCATTTAGGGCACGTGGTATCACAAGGAGTAGCAGCTGACCAAAGCAAAATCAAGGCCATACTGATGTGGCTAATACCCAAGAGATCGAGGGAGTTGAGAGGGTTCTTTAGGCATATAGGCTACTACAGAAAGTTCATGAAGGGATACAGTTCAATAGCCTAGCCTTTGACCAAACAGCTAAAGAAGGATAATTTCAATTGGGGCGAAGCAGCTACTAAGACCTCCGATTTAAAGAATGTGATGTCCAGTGGGCTAGTGCTAGCCCTGCCCAACTTCATCTAGCCTTTTATGGTGGATACGGATGCTTTGGGGTATGAGGTAGGGCTGTAGTTATGCAGGACCAGAGACTAGTGGCTTATTTCAGTCAGGTATTGACTACCAAGGCAAGGCTTAAGTCAGACTACGGGAGAGAGCTGATAGAGATTGTACTGGTCATTCAAAAGTGGGGACCCTACCTGTTATGGCGACACTTCAATGTCAGGACTAATCAAAGAAGCTTAAAGTTTCTTCCAGAGCAAAGGATGGTAACGAAGGAGCATTATAGGCGGCTTTTGAAACTACAGGGTTATGATTTCAAGATCCAGTATCGATCAAGGATAGAAAAAAAGGACGTATATGGGTTATCTAGGTTTATGGAGAAGCCTCATATGATGGCACTATCTGTTCCCTTAGTTGTGGATCGTGAGGCATTGAAAAGTAAAAGTCAGCAAGATGAAGGATTAGAGAAAATCATGAGAGATTTATTGGGGAACAAGGATAGTTATCCAAGCTATACCTTAGTCGATCAGAGACTTTATACCATGGATAAATGGTGATACTAAAGACATCGTCATATATACCCCACTTGTTGCGGGAGTTTCATAGTAGTGTCATAAGAGGTAACACGGGGGTATAAATGACCAATCGTAAGCTGGTAGCAGAATTGTATTGGGTTGAAATGCAGAAAGAGGTGGAGGAGATGGTGGCCAGGTGCAATATATGTCAAAGGCACAAATATATGGCAATGGTTCAAGGACTTATGCACCCTCTAGCTCTGCCTGAGAAGGTGGGAAGAGATAATCATAAATTTCATAAAAGGTATGCCAAAACCGGAGTTTTCGATGATTTTGGTAATAGTGGATAGGCTGATGAAATATGCTCGTCGCTTCATTTCCCTGCAACACCAATAAACGACAATTTCAGTGGCAGCAGCATTTATTCGAGAGGTGGTCCGCCTACATGGAATTTAGAAGTCCATAGTGTCAAATAGAGATAAGGTGTTCCTCAACCACTTCTGGAGAGAGCTATTCAGGATGCAGGTGATCATTTTGACGAGAACTACAGCATAACATCCAATAACTAATGGGCAGATTAAGGTGGTGAATAGGATAGTAGAGACTTATTTGAGATGTTTTGTTTCCGAAACACCAAAGACCTAGGTGAAGTGGTTACCTTGGATTGAGTACAGGTGCAATAAATCCTCTCATAGTGCAGCATATACCACACCCTTCAAATCCTTTATGACAAAGACCCTCATCACCTAGTATACTACGAGACTAAGAGCACTCCAATTTCATCAGTGAAATAGTAGCGGGATGAACAGTATAGGATATTGGGAAAGCTAAATGGGCACCTACCGATGGCACAATAAATTATAAAGAAACAGGCTGACGGGCATAATAGGAATGTGCAGTTTGAGGTAGGTGATAAGGTGTACTTGAAGATTCAACCCTACAGACAGAAGACCTTAGCTCAAAGAAGAAATGAAAAAAAATCTCCACAGTGTTATGGGCCATATGAGATTGTTGAGAGGATTGGTGTCATGGCGTACTTGAAGATTCAACCCCTAATTCGTTTGTAGTTACCTCCTTCCACCATACACAAACTATTCCATGTGTAATAACTGAGGAAAGTTATTGATGAACACAGTCAATCAGCGATGTTGTCGATGACCATGACAGAAGAAATGGAGGTGATTTTTTAGCCAATCAAAGTGAGAGGAGTTCACTCGACAACCAGAGGAGCTAGAGAAGTGTTAATCGAGTGGAAGAATCTATCCGACTATGAAGTAACATGGGAATCGTACCAGATGATTCAACTAAATTTTTCATCGTTCCACCTTGAGAACAATGTGGCTCTTTGGGAGGGAAATATTAATAGACGGGCTAAGCCAGTCCAGCCAATCAACTAGGCCCCACCAAAGGGGCCTAGTCTAGCTTGTGGGTAGAAGAGCCCTGTGAGACCCACTAGTGTAGGCAACAAGCAAGGAGAGAGGGTAATTACTTACTACATAAAACTAAAATTTGGAAGGAATTTAGAAGGTTTATTTAGGAAAAGAAGATTGATTTAAATTCAAATTTGGGAGAGAATTAGGAAGGTTTATTTAGGAGATGTTTGGTTGGCTGAAAAATGAATGCAATGTAAAACAAATGCAGTGTAAAAGGAATATTTTGGAGTAGTTTGGATGAATATAAAGTAAATGTAAGTGAATGATTTTTTGGTTAGGTTCGAAGTAATGAATATAGAGTAAAGTCTTAAATGGTGAAAGCAGGTGATGACGGAGAGCAATCGGTGGTGGGGCAGCGGCAGTGGCCGGCGGTGATGGTCGCTGATGGTGATAGGTAGCGACGATAGTGGAGAGCAGAGGAAGGCAGTCAGCGGTGTCCTGCAGCTGGTGGCTGTCAAACAAGTTCGTGGTGTAAACGATTTTCACTCAAAATCAAAGGAATTTGGTCTACATTCAAAATGAACTATTTCACTTTACATTCCATTTATTATACATACTTTGCATTATTTTGTATTTTAACCAAACACCAATTTTTGTAAAACTCCTACATTTGAAATACTTTACAAGATGGCTGATTTGAATTCAGATTTAGAGAGAGAATTAGGAATGTTTATTTAGGATTAATTAGTTTTTTTTTTATTATAGGATTGTGTTTTCCAATAATTTTCTTTGGAGTTGTTCATAGCAGTGTCTAGGGTTTGTGGAGAGCCGATCTACCTCTCAAATAGTATATTAACATGTATCTTGGTTTGTTGTGCCGATATCAATAAAATTAGCTCATAATATCATTATTTCTTGCTAGCGATGGGATTCCTATCAATAATATGATTATAATATAAGATGATTCAAAAAAAATTAAGCAAGGTGACAGATCAAGCGTCCAAAAAAATTTGAAGTAAAGGATCTAGGATGACCGAATACTTTTGTAGAACATCTTCCTTGTAGACAGAGTGGCAATCTGAGGGCATACAAAGGACAGAAATCGCTCTCAGGATTCAAAAGAAGTGAATGTTTGCAACTTGTAGAACATCTTCCTTTATTTCCATAGATGCGGATAAGAAAAGCACGGTTAAATATAGGCATAATCTGTCCAAGGAATTTTGTCATATAATCACTATATAATTAATAGTTTCATAAGTAGAAATTAATTAGAGTAACGTAGAAACCTGATGCATAAATTAGGGCATAAGGTCCTCAGTGAAATACACACAAAATTCAAATCATTCCTTATCTTAATTATTGTATAGCCATCAAAGTCCCATATGTTTATATTCAAGTTACTTAACTCGCCATAATCCATTCTTTTAATAACAGAATTTTTTTTATATCTAAAATTGTATAGCATATTAGTTCCAATTTATCAATCAGCATTTTTCTTATATTAGAAAGGGTCGCAGATATTGTCATGCACCAAATACCTATTATTTCAGTATTTAGTTATGAGATTTGAACTTAAATGAACTGAGTGCAATTAGCACTTCACAGCCAAGTACAACCTTCGAACTTTTTGTTTTACACACTTCAATATTTACGAGTTAATTTGGATTTTAACGAACTGTTGAGTTCTCACATGCAACTTGCACTTGACAGCCATGAACTTCATTCAAAGTTAATAGCTATAATTGATGTCACACCTCACAAGTAGTGATACATAATTCAGATGAAGTGATTTCAGTTTGGTGGTGGTCTTTGTCATCTTTTGAAACAAAAAAAAAAAACATGCCAAGTTCAACAACGCATCAAACAACAATACTGCCATTTCCTAAAAGGAGAAATCTGTTAAATACAGTGCAAAAACTGCATCCCCATTTGGTAAAATCATTTCATGTAATCAGCAATGAATAATGAAACATTATCTCTACAGTTATGTAGAATATTGTAGCCCAGCACAAAGGAGACAGGTACGCAGCATATTAAATTTACTATATGATTTTTGTAGAAAATTTTGAATTTTTCTGCTGGGAAAATTTAGTTGCAAGCTATTAGGCAGTTAAAAAAAATGAAAGGCGCATAACTCCACAATTTATTCGCAAGCAATTAGGCAGTTAAAAGGTCTAGGATTGATGTTATGTTAACAAAAACAGAAACTATACCAAAATCATTTAAAAAAAAAAAAACCTATTTCAATAATGAGTGGTAGTAAACATAAATGCAGATAGATGTTGCAATATTTAGTATCATATTCAATCCTTTGGGTAATTGGGTCCTTCTGCATCTCTTTCTTATCATTCAAATACTTTAAACAAACGTAAATAAATGGTAGCAGCAAAATAAACAACGTAAAAAGTTAAACAAAATGATGATAAAAGAAACCTAATTAGGAATATTATAACGTTCTTTGCAAATTTTGAAATCATTAAATGTTTCAAATGAGACACCAAACATTTGAAGTATCCAGAAATAACCAGCAAAATAGGTTGAGAAAGCTTGATAAGAAAAAATCATTATTAGTAAAATTTGTCCGGTAACTTTATGTCCAAAAACTAGTTTTTCAGGATAACCTTTGCAACAAGCGTATTGTGGCCTTGTTAACTAATAAATGAGGTACAATCAAATAAACCTACTCCGTCAATAGACTAAAGAGTAGCTTATTAATTATGGAATGATAAATTCGCTCAAAGTTTTCTTAAGGAAAGCATACACAGTGTAAACTAAAATGGAGTTATTAGATAAATGCACGAAATAAGACAAGTAGCAAGTTCACTGGTTAAGGAAAACGCTTACTTAACAAAATCATTCTTTAGGACCCTCATTAGGATGGTTGCAAGGAATCCAGTTAGAAGAAGAACTGTAACACATGAGTTTATTATGGAGAACCAGTGAATCTCCAAATGATGAGGGAGCGAAGAAGACTGAGAGTACTTCTCCATCCTCTTCTCAAAAGGTGTTTCTGTTTCTTTCCACTTTACCGAGTACATGAAATCAACCTCTATGTCTTTATCCTCAGTAATGTCAACCATTGAATTGACATCCGTGTGAACATTGATCTCAATGACACGGTCATTATTGTGGAGAACTTCAAAAAGAATATGCCTGTAAAGGAAGTACTTGTACTCGCTTGGGTCAGACTTGCCTTCCTTCTCAACCTTCCCAATGAATCCCCAAATTGGAAGATCGTCAAAGTACATTTGGAAGTAATAATCCTTCTCTACTGCACTCCTGAATTTGGCAACTTCTTCTTTCGTAAGTTGCTTTTTGCATGCTGATTTTGAATCATAATCAACCCGGAAGTCCAGCTTGTATGGAGCATCAACCAAGCGATCACCATTCAGGACTTCACCAAGAGCTTCTAATTTATCTTTCACAGGTGCTGCAAAATATTTTATATTTGAAACAATAAGCAAGATCTATGAATCATGAAAAAATGGGTGGGGAGTTAATAAAGTTCCAACAAAAAAGTAAAGGAAATAGATGAACAAAAATGGATAAACAAGATACAACAAAGCTCACCTGGGGAACAGAAGGGGAGATCAAAATAGCGATACGTCTCACTAGAAAATGAAAAAAAGGTCAGATAAATATGAACATCCAACAAGAATCACAAAAAATATATCATGATTCCACAAACCACGGAATATGAAAAACACAGAATGTCCATTATTGAGATTTTGGCAATTAGCTTATCAACTGATACACAGTACAAGCACAACCAAGAGAATCTAATACAAACATCCATAAAAACTTTCTATAATATGAAGATGCATGCATTCATCTTCTTTCCATTGTTATAGTGATTTAACAGTTACAAAAGGCTAGACATCAAATCTTCCATTCTGTCTCATGTAAAACAACACACTTAGAAGCACATTCTCCAAATAAAGTCAACCTGCAAAACTGAGAAATCTAAATTTATGGTATGAACCAAAATTGCAATATCATAGAAAGTATGTGGACCTCTAAACCAGTTCAAAACAAACTATATCACAGATTGCTATGTGTGGCTGCACAGGTACTGGGGTGAGGAGTGAGATGCACCAAGGCCTTGCTATTGAAATATTCCATACTAGAATTTAAAATAAATAGTTTAAACAATTAGAAATCAACTATCAGTATCCAGTAAGTTATATGGAACAACAATAATTAATACATTTGATTTGAAGCGAACAGATAATTTGGGGCATCACATAATCTAGAGTGAGAAGTTATCGCTTGGATGTTTTTACTTTACAGCAAGAACACAAAAAAAATTTTCTTGGATCTTTTTTTCTTGGGTTGGGCAACAGGCCATCCCATTCATAAGGGAAAAGAAAGGGGGTGGACTGGGATAATCTACCCAACATTGTCGGCGCAATTTTCAGTCAAGGTTTAAAAATCTAGAGCTTGATTCCAACAATATCATCTAATGCACCTACCAATCAGAGAGCCTTTCACACTTATTGTCAAGCATTTTCTGGTTCTTTTCAATTATTGCAACTGTCAGACAAGGTCATTGCTGCTTCCATCAAAAAGTACACAATCAGTGATCATCACCCTAGTGGACTGTGAATCAGCTAACATATCTTTGTCATCATTCCCTTCATTTTCCCTTCTCTTATCCTGCCCTCACTGTTTAACAACCACATGGTTCCAACAGCGACCTCTGACAACAATGAGTTATAAAGGGGATGATCATTTTAAGAGGGACATCAATGCAATGAGATAAATCTCCTAAAGTTTCATCAGATAAATTGGTTAATTCCCTTATTCAACCTAGTTTAATCATCTTAAACCATTATATTTTTATATCGTACGTGTCTACTAAAACACAAGTGGCTTGACCAAGTATTTCCTATTTCAGTTGGATTAAATCAAGGAACATCTTTAAAGCAATATATTTTTGCTTTAGGCATCGATGTTCTTACTAGACACTTGCAAGAAGATATACCCTGGTGTATGCATTCTGCTGAAGATATTCTTCTTGTGAATAAGACTAACGAGGAGTCGAAAGAAAACTTGAACTATGGAGGTCAACCTCATATTCTAAAAGTTTTCATTTGATTGGATATAAAACCAAATAAATGGAGTGTAGTTTTAGCAATAGTAGAACTAGTGGATGGATGACATTGGGTTATCAAGTCATTGAAAAGAGTGCACATTTTAGATATCTCATGTCTATTGCTTAGAGCGATGGTGAAATAAATGGGGATATTATTAGTAGAATTCAAGTTGGGTAATTAAAGTGGAAGAATGCATCGGGCATGTTTTGTGATAGAAAATTACCACTCAAACTTAAGGGAAAATTCTAGGTGGTGGTAAAAATAAAGCATAAAATTAAGTTAAGTATTGCGGAGATGATGATGCTAAGGTGGATGAGTGGTTTCACACTTAGAGATGGAATATGAAATGAGTAAATGCATGACAAGCTTGGAGTATCTCCATTGACAGATAAGACTAGAGATAGTTTCCTTAGATGGTTTGGTCACATAAAAAGTCAGTCTTCCAATGACTAGAAGAGAGTAGATGTATTAGATCCGGCTTATCTTAAGCAAGCTAGAGATAGACCTAAAAAGACTTGGTTAGAAAGTATTAGAAATTACCTTTTTTTATTAGATTTAAATGAAAGTTTGACTCTAATTAGAACACAATAGAGAAAAAAAGATTGGTGTAGCCGACCCCACCTAGTGGGATAAAGGCATGATGTTGTTGTTGTACATGTATACCACATAGATCTTAAGCAACTGCATATTCACTTATTTAGGGTGTTTTGTCAGTTTGGCAGTTGATCATGTTTTCCACACGAATGATCTCAACTTATCTTTATTTTAAAGGAAACTTATGTTAGGGTTTTGTCTATATGTAATGTGTTTGGACCTCTAATTGATTTATTCTCGAAATCTACAAAAATGAAAAAATATATATAATGCTTACAAAAATTAAAAGACTCCAGCATGCATCAATCATCATAAGCAAGAAAAAAATACAGAAACCATATATGGATTAATAGAAAATCCAATAAAATCCATAATTCTGCAAATCTTTGCCAAGTTATCAAAATCCAAAGAATCCATCAGATCGAGGAGAATCAGCAGTGGATCTGACAACAAGTGCAGCTCCACTCAATCAAAAGTGCCAATAGAAACGAGATCCATTCAGATCATACCTAGGGTTATGGAAGGGCCCGACCTTGTTGGCGTAAAGAGGAACCGTCTCTTCGGGCTTATAACGATGATTGGAAGCGTCAGCCACGACTCCGATGATCCCAAAACAAAGAAGCAACGACACCGTCGCCAAAGCCGGGACGACCGTCCTCCGTTCCATCTCTCTCCGTCACTTCTCTCTGTCTCTCTCTCTCTCGTCTGAGAAGAATAAAATATGTGGAGAGAGAGGCACGAGACGGCAAATACGGGAGATTATTAATAAGATGCAGTTCGACCCGCCGGACCGCGAAATGGAACCGAAGCGCTGAAAGGAGCCAAATTGAAAGTTGACGAAAACCAGGAGGCCGCTCGGTCCGGTTGGTGCGACCGATCCGATGAGCCATTCGACCGGTTTTCTTGATAACTGTAGGCCGGTAGACTTTTCGGGCCGTGGGCCTTCGTTTACTACAACATAGCGTTCAATATAATTTTAGAATCTTGAAATTGTAATTTGGTTAATTGGGAATAAAAAAATTGAAGAATGCTTCGTAAAAGGGCAAAGGGATTCAGATCCGCTTCAATTCGTCTCGATATTTAAAATGATAAAAAAAATTAGGCTTGATTTAAAACTGTTTTTTTATTATTTTTTAAAACAATTTTTAATAAGAAATTTTAATTAAAAATTTTATATTAAATTTTAGACATAAAAAAGATAAGTTAAACTCATAAAAAATATTAGATATATTATGTGAAAATTTTGAAAAGAGAAAAATTATGAAATCTAATATAATTAAAATAATTTCATCAATATTATTTTTTTATTACAAATGATGCATTTTCTGGCAACTAAATAATGCATTAATGTCAATGTTGAGGATTGTAGACAATGGCGTTATTGTTATCATTAGTGTTGCTTATTAGACATAGCCATATATATGTAAATACCTTCACTTTCCACATGTAATATTGTAATTGGTCTCTTCATGTCTAGCTCAGCTATTTATATAGCACTGTACCTCTGTTATCATGAATATAGAATTACTCCTTCTGTTTATATCTTCTTGCTTATCTTTCATTCTTGTTTCGGTTCTACCATGGCTGAAGCTTTCATGGTATCAGAGCAGGAACCAACTAATCTAAGTTGCATCCCTTCCGCTCACGCTCCTCTCGCCATCAACAATGGCAACTTCCTCCTCCTCCCCTGCCGCCACCACGTCTGTCTCCTGCTCGAACTCCGGCAACAATCCAGAAAATCAAACCACATCCAAATATCGCCAACAACTCAAATTCTTTATGAGTCATATCAAAGGCGTCATCTCCCTCACCCTCACAGCCGAAAACTTTCCTCTACGGCGTTCACAGGTTTTCAAGCTCTTCAAGGCCAACGGGTTTGAAGGCTTTCTTGACGGCAGCTGCACCTATCCTTCTCCGCTTCATCCCACTTCCGCAAATGAAATCTCATATCAAACTTGGAATCTCCTGGATCAAAATCGTGCAGCAGCCCTCTATTATGTGATCTCACCAAGTATCCTTCCCTACGTTTTATCTCTGGACCACTGCATTGAGATCTGGGAAACGATCAATCGCCGACTCCAGTCCAATACTCGCTCTCGCACCATTCAGCTGCGCAACGAGCTTCATCATCTTTCTATGAAAAATCAGTCTATGTCGCAATACCTGCTCACCATCAAATCCATTGTCGACTCTATTGCCGCCACCGGGTCTCCATTGGACCCCGAGGAGGTAATATTTTATACTCTCAACTAGGGGTGTCAATTTCGAGTCACAGGTCGGGTTCGGGTCGAACTCGAACTGACCCGGGTGGAAAACGGGTCAACCCTAACCCGACTCGAGTAGAGAAACGGGTCGAAAAACCGAACCAGGACCCGACCCGGC